CACCACCACCATCATCACTCCATCACCTAAGTTTTCTCTAATTTCCTTCTTCTATAACCTCAAGCCCTACACAGTGACACCTGTGAAAGCCAGGACTGAATGGACTGCCGTGATTTTCCAGGTCTCTAAAGTATTCCACCTTTGACAGGGTGCTGGTCTTTCTACTTTTCTGACTCATTAATGGAAAATGCTTTTCCCTTCTCAGACAGGTTTTGGCTTAATGGAGGTTCTGGTTTTCCTAGGCTCTTCTCAGTCTCCAAACTGATGAGATTTAGGACCCACTTACTACACCTACAAGCCTCATTAATACAACAAAGAACCCAGCTCCCAACGGATCATATCTACAGAGGCTGGAATTCCAACTCACATCTTGCTGCTGTCAACTGGCTCTAACTCAGTGATCCCAGGAACAACAGAATGTAACCCCACCTGGTCCTGCATCATCCTCAATCTTGGCTGTAACTAACTAAGCCCACTGTCTGGTCACTGTCCAGTCCATCTCACTGAGGATCTTTTCTTTGTCCATCCTCTGCATTTCCAGCATGCTGTCCTTCTCCAGGGACTAGCACTCCTGGTTACACGCCCCAACTATACGAGACACAATTCCATCAGTGGCTCTTTCCTTGCTCTCAAGAGACCCATCACTGGCCCAGAACTCGGGCCCCACTCACCAGGGCTTCGAGGACGGGCGTCAGCGTCCGGTAATAGTCTGAACTTTTCAGCTGGAGACTGCTGGCATAGCGGATCCCCCTCAGCTGGGCCATGTGCTCCACGTCTACTCCCTGTGTAGAGAGGAGGGCTGCGGACGAGCCCAGAGTCCTGTGAGAGAGCCTTGCTGTGGGGCTCTGGGCACCCCAAGCCCAGCACCAACTTTCAGCCCCACACCTACGACACTGGTCAAGCCAGGACAATCACGCTCTACGATGGGATGACCCAGTATCCTGGTCGACAGGACAGTTTCCACTTACACCTGTTGTCTTTTTTTTATGGTTTACATTTCATTTTTATTTATTCCGCGAAACTGCCCATATTGCAGGTTTTTCATGGCTGAAATAGGGGGCTGAACAGATTCCTTTTTTAAATTTTATTTTTTTTCCTACAAAATTATGGTATAAATTTGCTCAATTTTATATCTTATTACTAATAAACCTTACAGGCGTACAGTTTGTAAAGTAAACCCCTTAAGGACTGAATGTGTAGAGCATGCTGCAAGGTACAAGAAATAAGCTAAAAATGAGCATATAAACCTACATCTGGACCAACACAGAACGGACTGCTGGCAAACATTTATCACAACACAGGGGGGAAAAATTAATCAAAGGAGATGCAGTTCAGTCCTGAAAGGGTTAAAGAGAAACCCTAATATATTATTGTTTCTAACCGTCCACCCCACATTACAGTGCTTGAAAACAAAGTCAAAAGTCTGGCACAGAAAAATCACACACATTTGTTCAGTACTCATCAGAAACACAGCTGCTTTTGAAATAAAAAGTAAGTAACTTGGTTAATAATTGAATAGCATTTTCTTTCAAAAAGAAATCCCCTTGTGGATTATCTGGTTAAACATGAATAGCCGGTTAGTTTTGTTTCTCCGAAAACTACATTGGAAATTTTTTTGCGAGGGGGCACAGATGGTGCCAGTCTGCACAGAGTAAAAAACCAAACCAAATCAACCAGTTGTGATCTCTGGGGTCTGAGTGGCAGAAGAGTGCACTAATTAATATAGGTCTTGACTGTTCATAACATCCTCTTTCCAGCTCTTATCCTGGGCTGGATTGGTAATGAATCCTGTGGACGACCGCTCTCAGACCCTCCGGCCCAGCACAAGATGCTGCCTTAGTTACCCAGAGCTGCTGGGACACAGATGCCACAGACAAGCAAGCGGCTTTAGGAACAGAAATCTATCTTCTCAGAATTTCCCAAACCTGTCACAGCTGAGATCAGAGGAACTAAGTGGTGCCCAGTGGACATTACAGGTCACTCTAGAAGCGGACACTGTAGAAAGAATGTGGAATGTGGAACAGAGAAAGAAAAATGTGGAACAAAACTTAAAAACACAAAGAAGGCCAGGATTACTGCGTTTACTGGTCTAACAGAGAATGGTGGGATCCCCAAGACTATTGCCTTGGTCACTCTTCAAACCTGAAACAAAATAGCCCCGTGGCTCAGTCAAATGGCATATAAAGGGAACAGCAGCAATAGTGAGGTACTCACTCCTTAGAATAACCAGCCACATGAGACCAAAGAGGCAGATTTTGACCAGGGATTAAGCTCAGAAGACAGGAAGGGGTAAGATAGGATGAATGGAGATGAGATGTACAGGGAGGAAGTGGGAAGCATGCAGTCAGGTTGTGGAGACTGTAACTAACATCATAAAACAAAGAGTGTGCAAAGAGGTTAACAGTCCCTTTTAGGTCAATGTGTAGGTTCCACAGAAGCACAAGTATGTGTTCTAAGATTCTCATTCTTCTCATTGTCGCCATAATTTGTTACGATCTAGACAATCAATTTTTTTTAATTGTTGGTACCAGCAGTCAGGAGATTAGGAGACATATTGCACTGGGCAAGTCTGCTGCCAGGGACCTTTCCAAAATACTGAAGATCTTGGTGAGTTCCAGTGGTCTAGTGGCAAGAAACTACACTGCAATTCCAGAGGTGCATGGTTCAAATGCACCAGATGCTCTACTGAAGAAGGAGGGACAATCTCCTCCTGTACCAGTCAGATCCAATTTGATAGTACACACACACAAAATAATAATAATAAAGTATAATTTTTAAAAAACTCCTGAAGATCAATGACATCAGTTTGAAGACTAGAGTGCACCTGATTCCGGCCATGGTCTTTTCCATTACTTGCAATGCTTCTTTTTTAAAAAAAAATATTAAATTTTATTAGTTTTCATGAACATTTACAGAGATTTTGGGTTTTCATTCATTCATTGTTGCACTGTTTTCTCTACCCTCCTCCCCAGTTCGTTCTTCTT